AACATCAGAAGTTTGCGATCAAAATCGGAAACAAACAGTAGCGTGACTAAACTGAATCTTTGTGAACTCCTCCTTAATAATGAAAAACCGCTTTTCCTTGCAATTACTGAGACGTGGCTAAATAATTTCGTCAGTACTGAAGATATCGAAATCGCCGATTACTTCTGCTTTCGCAGAGACAGAATGAACGTGAATATCTCAGAACCAAACTGGGGCGGCTGTCTCAGAATGAACGTGAATATCTCAGAACCAAACTGGGGCGGCTGTCCGTTATTAGCTGATATTGTTATTCTTCATTTCATTAATGATAATGAAGATCACAATAAATATCCTTATAAATATTTAGGCAGATATGTCGATGATCTTATTCTCATATCTCAACTATCATAATCACAAGTCAAGCAATTAGTTGCTGATATGAATTCTATCAGTATGAATGTGCGATTTTCTTGTGCGAAATTATTTTTAACAAATTCTAAAATATAGAAACAAGATATTTTGATAAACAATTTCCGCACTCAAAACTTTTACTTAATTCAAGGTACAATTTGCTAAATATTTATCGAAAAAGCGATATCTCATAGGTTAATCTGCTTTCTATTGAATACTATGAAAATTTTCAAGAGTAAATTAGTGTCAATGAAGAGATAGGCCAGTACGAGTACTTCTTGAGTTTGCGATACCCGTATTCACGCGTAGCACTTTGTTAATGGTTACTCGAAAAAGTACTGCGATACTACATTTTTAAAACCTTCCTAGCGTATCTGCTACACAAAGGCGTTGTATAAAAGCGATATGCTCAAACGTGTTCCAATATTAGTCCGGACAGAGTAGACATTTTATGACGAAGGAAAGACTAATTTATTGTTTCTATAGTCTGGAGAATACTAGTCTGGAGTACAGAAATTTTTCGAGAATGGTTATTCATGAAAAAACGTTAGGAATAAATCCCAAAAATTTTAATCTCATAACTTACTTCGTTGATTATTGAATTAAGATCCCTCACAGAGTAGAAAAGTCGATTTTGGTCAAAAGCATCAATCTTGACATGAACATATTATCGAAGAGCCCTAAATGTGTATCTGTAACGCTTTTGCCATAGAAATCAGTTTTCATGATCTTCTAGTAAGTTTTGTGAAAACCTGCATAAACAAGGTCTTTACAACATTCAAATTTTTTCCTCGATATTTATGCAACCAAGTAGATCTCTAGAGCAGAATGTTCTTGTCAAATCAGATATCGCATAACTCTGTACAATCTTTCGTTCAAAAATCACCAGCGGTTTGAACCGATAAATCAATAGTTCTTTCTTTCAAATTGCTTTTTCAACTCTAGGATGCTTATATTTCCCAAAATTCTTCGTCCGAGATGCTGGAGAGATCGGGTTAGCTTATGAATTCAACACATACAGCTAGAGATTGACAGAGTCAGATTCGTGCCTTTTGCTCTAGTTTTCAATAGCGAGAAGAATTTTAGAAAATCTTCATGAGGATTTTTCGACTTTTGATCCCTGGCAAAAATCAGTCACGTAAATATTCGAAAACCGGACTCTATCAATTTCCAGTCACTGCGTCCGGTCAAGCTAAAAACACCATGGTGAACAAGCAGAGATGAAAGCAATAGTAGAAATTGAGCTGTTCGATGCATTATGGTATCAACTAGAATAGATTAAGTACCATGAAATAAGCCGGAACTAAGGCATGATTCTATTATTAATTGGAAAATCGAGTTTTGATTTACTGTTTTATTTTAAAATGAAATTTTTGAAGATTTGTATAATCGAACTTGGTTTTATAAGTTTGATTGTAGAGAATTTTAAAAATCCTCCGGTGTCTCGTTTCTGTGGAATCCTCAATTATTAAGTGGTCGCGCATTTGTAAAATCGCAGTTCAATAAAGACGTTCCATCTCATTTAAGAGCTGTTACACTTACACTTTGCTTCAAACGTTGAGGTCTTGTTCATTCGTATAATTATAGTTGAAAGAGAGAATCTCTGTCGTAAGTAAATCTGAATGGTCAAGTGATACTATTGATCATTTTTGTAATTTATTTCAAGTGCATGGAACAAACGAATTTTGTCCATTATCTAATAGTGTTAAACGAAACATGAACAGTTAGAAAAACTAGAAACAGAATATATGTGATACATGCGGTGTATGTATTAAAAGAAAATCATTGAAGACTGAATTATGCCAACAACGTAAACAAAAGTATTCGCATCAATTTTTTCTTGGTTCAATAAATGCAAAATTACAACAAATAATGAAACAGCATAGTTTATATCAATTACTGGAACAAGCCAGAAACACAAATAAAAATTATATTCATGATTCAATGTATGATGATGATTTTTTATCAACACAACCAGAAACAACATCTAGTTTAATAAAATGAGGAGTAACAGCGGCTTATAGTCGTTTACGTTTATGATAATTAAACTGCTATTTCCTCAACGTCGATGTCTGGAGAACATTATAGTAGCTGGCATTATATCAGCAAAAACAAGTCCCTCAAATCAAGTAATTCAAATTTGTTCACAAGTTATCATTAATCGATTGGTATCATTAGAAGATGGTAATTATTTTTATGTGAAAGATATTGGTGAAAATGAAAACCTACAATGGTATGTTGTACGATCTTTTGAAGTACTTACAACTTTCGCTTTTTATTCTGTGTTTCCATGACTTGTCTGAAGCAATTTTAAGCCATTATATACGTCTTTAAAAGACTCTCAAAGCTTCTACATGTCTACGCGAATCTTACCCCAAAGCATGCTTTTAGGCTCAAAATTCTTTCTTGAAAATGTGCTTATAAGTATTACAGAAGTTTTACATTTTATTCCTTTTTTTAATAGTTATAAGGCCAGCATTTCAACTTGAAGAAGTTACACATTCAAGCTTATTAGAAACTGTTGGTAGCACGTGGAAAAGCAAAACATAAATAGACGATTGTAGATGATAACAGGAGAGTTGCACTTTGCTGTTGAACGAGGGTGGCGAAGATCTTGCGAAAGAAAACTTCGAAGAATTGAGCAACAGTCTGAACACAGTTTCCTTACTCAAATCTCTATTTTTTGCTATCAAAAGCAAGTGCTGTCTGCTATTGTAGCTAAAAAGGCACTTTAAATTATATTTAATGGATTTGCCTTGCGAACTGTTCTAATAATTGTTATTACGTTTCATAGGAAATAAGAAACTGTACAAATCTATACGACACTTTCTGTAGAGTCATAGTTGCTATCCAATGTACAATGGCGAAATTAGATTTTTGCCTTCCACCGACTTTAGGCAACAGAATACATCATACATTCTTTTTGTCTTTATTAACTGAACCATCAACTGATGTTGATAAATGGTTTAGTGATGTTAATTGTTTTTTTAAACGATAGAAGATTAATCTAAAAATTTAGTTGATATGGTTAGTGTTTTATAGTGGATATTTTATAGGGTATTATGATGTATTCAGCAACAGAGTTTCGTTTAGGCATGATTTAAATAATGTTCTACCGAATTCATTGAAGCCAGACTGTGCTGATGAGCTAGCTTGATTATATTTTTGAAGATAATTTAAATATTCAAATAATTCAGAATCATACGCAGCTAAATATTTATTGGATCGTTCTTATTCGGTAATCGACTGCGTTAATGGGAATAATTTAACAGCACCAGCTGATGTTAAGACACGATTATTCGTATTACTTTTCATAGATATAATCGGTGAACTTAGTATTAATATTTTATTATAAAGAATTTCTTGAATTTCTGCTTCATTCAGCTTTTCTAAAGAAAAAAAGAAATAATTCTATCACTTATGCGGAAAGAAAAGAAATAAAACATCGTATGAAGCAATGAAAATTATACATAATTACTTTTATCCTTTCTTTTACGGTTGTTATTTTTATCATCGATAACACTTTGTGCTTTGTTACTTTTATGTGCAGATTGTTTTACTACCACTTGTTGATTGTCATGCATTATTTTTAATAGTTCTTCTGCATTAATAATCATTGCTGGTTGACCAACAATTACTGTTGAACTATTACCAATATTGGCTAATTGATAATTATCTAGATACACAGAGCAGGACAACAGTTTAAAGCAAATATAAAAGCAGTTTCGATAGAGCTCAGCTTACTCATCTAACGTAAGATCTACACTACAGCAGTTTCTGTATTTGGTAAGCGTATTCGAATAAGTTTTACCTGATTCATCACCATTATTTTCCATATCATTTAATTGAGCATTAGGAGTATGATTAACTTCTTCTTGTTGCATATTAGCTATCATGATTGCTGACGTATGTTGTTCTTCACTGACATTTACATTCGTTGGTGCGGCTACCACAAATTTATCTAAATAGATAAAAATATATAGAAAATAGAAGTGAAGACGAAATACAATAGTAAGTAAACATTTACTTTGTGTGATATTATCGCTTTGCTCAAAAGTTGTATCAGACCAACTCACAAGTTGTTGCGATACTTGACTAGACTGATTCCTTTCAGATAAATCTGATTTTGAAGTAAGTAATGACAGCAACATTGGATTTTGAGACGAAGGATCTACTGTTTGTTTTGATAGCGTTGTTGTAACATTTAATGCAGATGTGTAATTTAAACTAGAATCTTGTGTTTCAGTTATCGGCTCAGTTGATAGGGAATTCATCGGTTGTTGTTGTAATAATGTTGTAGTATCAGGTGACACCGTTACTTCAATAGTTGATGCAGTAGCTACTGTCTCTGTTGATAGTGATTGATTGTTATTACTATTATTATTGTTGGATAAGACCGTTTGTAAGGAATTATTCTTAGGAGAAACTTGGTTAATTGCCTTTAAAGAAAATGTTAATTCACCATTAACAACTTCTTGTACAAGCAAACCGTCTTGAACTAAAGAATCAACATCTTGTCGAACACATTCATTATTTATATATTTTGGAAAATCTTGATAATATTGTTTGTAACGTTTTACCATAAATTTCGAAGCAAAATCTGTCAATTTCTTAACTGAGCATGATTTTAGGTGAATTTTTCGATACTCAGATAATGTCATACCCCATTTATTTAATTTCCGTTCCATATCAATTTCTTCATAAGACCTTGGCGTAGAGACTGTTGGTGGTGGAACTTTATGATAAGCTATTTCACAAGTAGCAATAAATCTTTCTCTGAATAATAGACCGTCGTCAATCAACGCTTGAGCACACTCATGGAATCGCTCTGGATGTTTTTTACATGGTCCACTTCTTTTTACATCATGGCGATCGTAACTAGCTATCATTGTTATTGAAAAGAATGTATAAGGAAATGACAGTATTCTTCTACAATAATCAGGATCGATCAGCCGTTGTTCACGCGGTGAACCATTTATAGGCACTATCGTATCAAGATTAAATATTGACTTTATTGAATTGAAGATAAATAAATAATACATCCATGCTTGTTCACATGTTTCTCTATCAACATATAGAACTGGCATACCTGTACAAATTAAAACATGTATAGCAAGGATCTGATGCTGGACTCAAAAAAAATAGAGTCAAATTGCCTTTGACAATATTAAGCATTTTTGTTTTGTAAAAGAATTAATTATTATACAAAATTTAAAAATAAGGCAAAGGCGAATGATGAAGATCAAAATGTATAAAAGTACAGTCAGTACAATAATACCATACATACCGGATTTCTCGGATTGCTCCGCTGTCGATAAGAATAATTGATTAAGCACTTTAACTGCTGCAGCTATAAATTTTTCTGTATCAGCACCATTTTCTCGAAAATCATCGTCAAAATCAATAATATCCTGTAATTCAGTTAAAACGGACATAATGTTCTTATATAATTTAAGTAACACACAAATACGTGGATAAATATCATTTACTTTAGCATAAAATGATACAATATGTGGTGGCAAATCTTTACATTGCGGGTGAAGCAATATATCAGTTTGACCAGCAACCTTATTAAATACATAACAATAAGCACTATTACCATCAACGCTTCCATCTGCTCTTGTGCTTGCTGTTGTTGATATGTGAGATTCATCTAGATGCGATAAAGCAACAACATCAGACAAAAACTTGCAAGTATTCGAATAACTTACCAATGGTATCGAAGCGATATTCTATTGATCCAAGTAAGTGGCAAACAAGAAAAACATGAATAAACGACGGTATACCAGCATGAGCAAATTTCAAATCATTTGGACAAACTGCTGATTTATACCACACGGGTAAAAACATCATACGACTAAACAAACCATCTTGACCATTTCCATTCGACCAACGTTTCAAAACATTAGCTAAATGTGTGCCTGATGTACCGCCTAAAATTGATAACCTAGCTCCATTTATTTCAGTTGTTGGAAGTGATGTTAATCGGGATAATCCATTAGTACCATCGAATAATGAACATAATATCGAAATTTCTGCCGTCAGTTCCTTATTGTAAATACCCCACTTAACAAATACACCGTCGATTTCATCATTCACTATACATACATCACCACCAACCAGTAACTCCAGTAAAGTTAATCCATTTGAATTATTTGTTACACTATTTTGTAGCTGTGTATGACCTGCATCACGTGGCACATTTTTCATATAATCATGCTGAAAGATTTTTGTGACTTTTGTGGCTGCTATTATTAAATGATTCAAATTTGGTGATTTTCCACAACCTGCATCACAATAAAGGAGCGTTTTGAAATTATAGGTAAGCTCAATCTGACAACTGTTAAGTGATAGAGACTACCAAGAGATTAAGAA